CCCCAAACTCCAAATTTTGGGGATTTTTTCTCCCCAAAATCCGAATTTTTAAGGATTTTTCCTCCCCAAACCCCAAATTTTGGGGATTTTCCTCCCCAAACTCCAAATTTTGGGAGTTTTTCTTCCCCAAACTCCAAATTTTGGGGATTTTTCCTCCCCAAACTCCAAATTTTGGGGATTTTTCCTCCCCAAACTCCAAATTTTGGGGGTTTTTCCTCCCCAAACTCCAAATTTGGGGTCCCCTTCCCCAAAATCCGAATTTTGTAGTTCCCAGATGCAAATTTGGGGGATTTTCCTCCCCAGACTCCAAATTTTGGGGATTTTCCTTCCCAAATTTGAAATTTTGGGGTTTTTCCTCCCCAAATTTTGGGGCTTTTTCCTCCCCAAACCCCAAATTTTGGGGATTTTTCTCCCCAAACTCCAAATTTTGGGGATTTTTTCTCCCCAAAATCCGAATTTTTAAGGATTTTTCCTCCCCAAACCCCAAATTTTGGGGATTTTCCTCCCCAAACTCCAAATTTTGGGAGTTTTTCTTCCCCAAACTCCAAATTTTGGGGATTTTTCCTCCCCAAACTCCAAATTTTGGGGATTTTTCCTCGCCAAACTCCAAATATAGGGATTTTTTTCCTCCCCAAACCCCAAATTTTTGGGTTTTTCCTCCCCAAACCCCAAATTTTGGGGTTCCCCCCTCACCTGCGCTCCCGTTTCCAGGTAAATCTCTTTTTTCTGGGTGTTCTCGGCTGTTTTTGGCGATTTTCGTGTGATTTGAGACCCGAAAACGCCCCCAAAACCCCCCAGGAAAAACGTCAAGAATGCAAAAAAAACCCCAAACACGCAAAAAAAAAAGAGAAGTGGGATTTTTTGGGGGGGATTTTTCCGCTTTTGGGGGATTTTCACTTCACTTTTTAAAGTTTGTTTTTTTTTAATTGAGCCCTGAAAAGGTCAAAAATCCCCAAAATCGGCGATTTGGGGAGAAATCCAGAAAATTCCTGGTTTTTCCAGGAGTGAGGTTTTTAAAAAAATTCTTTTTTTTTTAAGAAATTAAAAAAAAATTTGAGAAATTTTAAAAAAAAATTTAAAAATTAAAAAAATCAGCCAAAAACCCCCCCCCAAAAATGAGCCAAAACACCCCAAAAATCACCGCCAGACCCCAAATATCCCCCCCAAAATTAACCAAAACCTCGCAAAATGAACCCAAAATCGCCACAGAGACCCCCCCCAAAAAAAAATCAGGCGGGGAGATGGCGAAAATCCCAAATTTTGGGGTTTTTCCCACCCAGAAACGATTCCCAGCCTTCCCCAAAATCCCAAATTGACCCCAAAAATCCCAAATTGACCCCAAAACACCCCAAAAATCCCCGAACGACCCCCCCAGTGCCCCTCCCAGTGCTCCCAGTCCCAAACTGGGAAGGAACTGGAGCAGCCGCAGGTCCAAGGAAACTTTATTGGGGGAGGGGAGGAAACCCCAAAAACGGGGGAAAAAACCCCAAAAATGGGAGAAAGACCCCAAAAAAGAGGGGGAAAACCCCTGGGAAAGGGGAATTTACCCCAAAGTAGTGTCAGTGTCCCAAAAAGAGGGGGGAGAAGACCCCCGGGGAGGGGGATCAGAAATCCCTAAAAAAAGGGGGGAAATCCCAAAAAAAGGGGAAAATCCCAAAAAAAGGGGAAAAACCCAAAAAAAAAAGGGGGAAATTCCAAAAAATGGGGAAAAATCCCAAAAAAAATGGGGAAAAATCTCAAATAAAGGGGGAAAATCCAAAAAAAAGGGTGAAAATCCCAAAAAAAGGGTGAAAATCCCAAAAAAGAGGGAAAAATCCCAAAAAAAGGGTGAAATCCCAAAAAAAGGGTGAAAATCCCAAAAAAAGGGTGAAAATCCCAAAAAAGGGGAAAAAGCCCCAAAAAAGGGGGGGGGAAATCCCAAAAAAAGGGGGAAAATCCCAAAAAAAAGGGGGAAAAATCCCAAAAAAAAGGGGAAAAATCCCAAAAAAAAGGGGGAAAATCCCAAATGAAGGGGGGAATCCAAAACTGCCCCAAAAATGGGAAAAAAGGGGGAAATTCCCCCCCAAAAAAATGTTAAATAAGGAAGGGAAATCACAAATAAAGAGTAAAAGTCAGAAAGAAAAGTAAAAGGGGGTGAAATCCCAAAAAAAGGGGAAATCCCAAAAAAAAAGTGGAAAAATCCCAAATAAAGGGGGGGAAAATCCCAAAAAAAGGGGAAAATCCCAAATAAAGGGGGAAATCCCCAAAAAAAGGGGGGGAAATCCCAAAAAAGGAGAAAAATCCCAAAAAAAGGGGGGAAAATCTCAAATAAAGGGGAAAACCCCAAAACAAGGGGGAAAAATCTCAAAAAAAGGAGGAAAATAAAAAAAAAGGAGAAAAATCCCAAATAAAGGGGGAAACCCCAAAACAAGGGGGAAAAATCCCAAAAAAAGAGAAAAATCCCCAAAGCAAGGGGGAAAAAATCCCAGAAAAGGGGGAAAAAACCCCAAAAAAAGGAGAAAAATCCCCAAAAAAAGTGGAGAAATCCCAAATAAAAGGGGAAATCCCAAATAAAGGGGGGAAAAATCCTAAATAAAGGGGTGATATCCCAAAAGAAGGGTGGAAAAATCCCAAATAAAAGGTGAAAATCCAAAAAAAAAAAGGAGAAAAATCCCCCAAAAAAAGGGAAAAAAATCTCAAAAAAAAAGGAAAAAAATCCCAAAAAAAGGGGAGAAATCCCAAAAAAAGGGGAGAAATCCCAAAAGAAGGGGTGAAATCCCAAAAGAAGGGTGGAAAAATCCCAAATAAAAGGTGAAAATCCAAAAAAAAAAAAAGGAGAAAAATCCCCCAAAAAAAGGGAAAAAAATCTCAAAAAAAAGGGAAAAAAATCTGAAAAAAAAGGGAAAAAAATCCGAAAAAAAAGGAAAAAAATCCCAAAAAAAAGGAGAAAAATCCCAAATAAAAGGGGAAATCCCAACTAAAGGGGGGAAAAATCCTAAAAGAAGGGGTGAAATCCCAAAAGAAGGGGTGAAATCCCAAAAGAAGGGTGGAAAAATCCCAAATAAAAGGTGAAAATCCAAAAAAAAAAAGGAGAAAAATCCCCCAAAAAAAGGGAAAAAAATCTCAAAAAAAAAGGAAAAAAATCCCAAAAAAAGGGGAGAAATCCCAAAAAAAGGGGAGAAATCCCAAAAGAAGGGGTGAAATCCCAAAAGAAGGGTGGAAAAATCCCAAATAAAAGGTGAAAATCCAAAAAAAAAAAAAGGAGAAAAATCCCCCAAAAAAAGGGAAAAAAATCTCAAAAAAAAGGGAAAAAAATCTGAAAAAAAAGGAAAAAAATCCCAAAAAAAGGGGGAAAATCCCAAAAAAAGGAGAAAAATCCCAAATAAAAGGGGAAATCCCAAAAGAAGGGTGGAAAAATCCCAAATAAAAGGTGAAAATCCAAAAAAAAAGGAGAAAAATCCCCCCCAAAAAGGGAAAAAAAATCTCAAAAAAAAGGGAAAAAAATCTGAAAAAAAAAGGAAAAAAATCCCAAAAAAAGGAAAAAAATCCCAAAAAAAAGGAGAAAAATCCAAAAAAAAAGGAGAAAAATCCCAAATAAAAGGGGAAATCCCAAAAGAAGGGTGGAAAAATC